AGGGTCGGGGGGGCGCGGGCCGGCAGGGGGCGGGGCAGGGCCGTCCCGCGCCCAGCGCCTCCGCGTGCCTCGCCGTGGCGAGCCCTCCGCGACGGGCACATCTCCCTGCCTTTTGTGGTAACACCCCGTCACCAGTTTTTCGTGCTGTACCGTAACGTGCCGGTAGACGGTATCTTGCTGCTCTTCGTATCTCGACGGCCAGGGCTTCAACCCCGTTTCTCGTGACAAGACTCCATCCCATCAACTCTGTCTGCTGCTTCGTTTCTGTGCTGTGCAGTAAGAAGTGCCGGTTATCCCGAGGTACCGCTTTTTGTTGTTAATGTTATCAGCTATGAACATAATAATTCTTTAATGAATTAAACGATCTGTAAGATTGGACGTGAGGTTTTTTTCTCCTGTAGACCAGGGAGACTCGCACTGTATAGAGGCTGACTCTGAGTTCAGAGAGCTGTGGGAATTGCCAGTGAAAGATCTTTTTCTTAGAATTGGATGTATTTGTCTCTTTCTTTTATTTCTCTCTCTCTCTTTTCCTTTTTTTTTAACATAAATAGAGCTCTTAACCTTTTAGTCTTTGTACATGCTTACATAAAATTTGGCCAAAACAAGGCCAGCTCTTGCTGTGGGTGCCTGTTGTGTTCGGAAACCATCGCAATCCTCAGCGCGAGCATCTGTTTCTCACTTTTTTCTTAATCCTAAGAAAATCCAGACAGGTTCAAAACAGTACGTATTTGTTGTTTTATCCACCTTTAAGCAAATATTAGATGGTTCAAACTGCTTATATTCAGCTGACCTGGATGCCCTGTTCATAATAGGGGAGTAGAAATAGGTACAATGAATAGAAACAGAAAATACGTGTTGTGTTGTCAAATCACATTATGCTTTTAATTTAAAACACCTTGAGCTCCAAATCTACCTGCTAACTTCTCAACTTCAAGAATATCTACTATATTATCTCAGAACCTTCCAGCTACTGAAGTTCATACTTGCTGCCATTTTTCCCTTTTATCTTCTCCAGGCCCCCATCCTGCAAAGACTTCTGTCCATGATCATCTCTGTACCCTGGGTAAGACTGTTAATTTCATTATCTCACTAAGTATTAGCCATATCCTGATATGCTGCCCCCCCAAAAAAAGCTAGTTTTAAACAAGTTTGCAGAACTGTGGAAGTTGACGAAGTGAATTTTGCAGAAGACAGCTTCAGGAACTACTGCAAAATTTCTTTTTAAATTCCTCCTATATTCACTGTATCTAACTGCTTCTGGCTACTAAAGCATTTGTGAAGGCAGAAAAACTCAGAAAATATAGAGAAATAGTACTGGCTAATGATGCTCGGCTTGGTAAGTGAATGCTATTAGTATCAGTAAGTTTCGATACTGACTTAATTTTTGAATTTTCCTTTTGCAGGACAAGTTCTAAAGAAGGAGAAGTACAGAAATAAATCCCTCACCTTTTTCCCTGCCTTGTACACCATTTTACATATGGCAGGCATGTATAATTCCCAAAGCATAGAAAAGCACATCTAAACGTAATTTGTCAGCATGATTTCATATCTGTTTTAAATTTTTGTTGACAGCTGCAGATAATTTATTATTTTGAAAAAGAGGTAATCGTTTAATTAATTTTGCTTTTCAGATTTGATGTATTTTACATCAAATATATCTGTGAGAATCTGAAATAGAATGCAGCAATACAAAATGCAGAAGGCTTTTACTGTAAAATTAGACTTTCAAGTCATGGTTTAAATGAGGAATTGGTGCTGACTCCACAAGTTTCTGTGGAGTGTTCCATTAGGGACAGACATTTTAAAAATAATTCCCCCAGTCCAGTTCATTTAAGACAGACTGAATGCCAGGCGGCTGTCCTGGAGCAAATGAAAGGCTGAGAAAACAGTAGCTGAGCAAGGCAGGAAGATGAGATGATTTCCTGAGCTTTCTCCAGACCTGTATTCTGCCCTCTTTGGATCCTTCCTCTTGTACGAGAGCAGGTTTCATTGTCTTCAGGCCTGCAGCTTTACATTTTTTGTCCTGCCAAGGTTACTTCCTCTGAACAGGGAGTTGCACTGCTTGGCACAGCCAAGCCCTAACCTTTCTTGGGCAAATGCAAACCATTCACAGGACTGTGGTGTTCCCTCCCTTCAACAGGGAAACAGCAACTTCTTTGCAGCTTCTTATCAAAGTGTTGATTGTCCATGTCCTCCCTATCTTTCATTCTTGACAAAGGTGACCTTGGCTCCCAATGGAGACACTTCTCAGGTGGAGTCTCAGTTCTATACAGCACCTCTCTTGTATGCAGGACAGAAAAGGACTTTACATGCCTCTTGCAGGTTGGCTTCCAGCATCAGAGGAAGGAGATTACAGTATTTTGGCTGGAGTGCTCGGCTTCAAGACTTCACTTTGTTCTTCACAACTTGGAGGGATATGAAGCCAGTTGGAAAAGTGCTTTGTGCTACAGGGATCGTAGCTGGGCTCCTAGCTTTCTTCTGGAAAGACCCTTTTAACCCAGGTAGGCTCACCAGGGGGGTCATTCCAAACTGGAATATAAGTCACGTAAGAGAAGAGGTTGAATTTCCAAACTCTGACTGGTGGTCTCATTCCTGCCCATAGTCTTACCAGAGTTGGTGGCCGCAAAGCAATGCGTCATTCCCAGAAATAGAGAGAAGCTTGAAACAAAGAGGAAGACAAAATGGTCTAACAGCATTTACAAGGGATCCTGCTGTCTATGTGGGGAAAAAATGACATGTACTTTGCCACTGCCTTTTTCTTTTTTTGTTTTGATTGCAAATTCCTTGGGGTCAAGAACCATCTCTATAGATGTGCAGTGCCCAGCACAAGAGGGCTGATATCTCCAAACTGGTGGCAAAGAATAAATGATATGCAGAAGGCAGGAGGCCCAGAGCCTGGTTTATGTTGTACAGCTTTTTATAATGTGAAAACCAACTTCATCCTTGAAAGATATTGGTCTAGGAACCCAGGCAGAGGGCATGTGACACAGCTAGCTTGCATAATCATATCATTATTCCCTGGCAGTGATAACCTAGGCATAATGTCCACAACAAATGTGCAGTGACAAAACAACGCACCTCTTGGGCAGTTGGGCCTGGGGGTTGTTCCATGGCAACTGAGCCATGCCGGCTGCACGCTTTTATGCATTATCCAACTCCATGGAAGAATGCTGAGCTGGGGAGGAGGGATGGGAATGGTGAAACAAGGCTTGGCTGTTTGGTTTCTAGCACCCCAGCTGCTGTCTCAGTGAAGTGGGTCAGACTGAGCCTCCTGGTCCATGACTTGAAGTATGAACCTGAGGGTTGTCAGGATGGAGGAGGGAACTGTCTGTTGCATGTTAGTGGAGCTAGGCCAAGCTGACTGCTGCATGCTGGAGCTTGTTGAGCTAGCCAAGCTTTCCTGTGACCCAGGCCAAAACAGATCAATATGGCTGGCTACTTGACATGAGGTGGCTGATGACTAACCTTTTTGTTGTAGGCACCTGTCAGAAGGGAAAAATAGCTCATTCTTCAAAGATTAGGTGATTTTTGATTATTTTCAGTCTAGCAAGAATTGGAAGGTATTGTTAATCTCATGACTTCGTCAGGTCAGTCCTGCCTCTTCTAGTTTTGGAGAAGCATCAAGACTTCTGAGCACTTACTTACACACACCTTTCTACTTTAGAGCTCTGCCAATAGTTGAGGGCAGCTCCTCTGCTGCTTCCTTCACTTACTTCTATATCTTTTATTCTCTTTCCCATAAATAAGAGAGCTTGTCTGCTGCCCGCGTTCTCCTGACTGGAGCCAGTGCTGGGATTGGAGAGCAGATGGCATATCATTATGCCAGATTTGGTGCTGAAATTGTCTTGACTGCTAGGAGGGAAGCTGTGCTGCAGAAGGTAAGAACTTCCTCGTATGAGGGAAGACATAAGAGATTTGGACTTTTACCAAAACAACAACAACAAATTAGTTGTCAGCGTGGTAAATTTTCCTTCAGAACTGTTGTTGAGCAAAAACAGCTTAGGTACTTTCAAAATTCTTTCCACTTATGTAGAAAGATGGAACATGCCAGTGACATGTTTTGAGCCTGATTTGCTGGCAGTGTCCTGTGCCATTCTTCTCTGTAACTGATCTCCTAGGTGGGCTACTTTGTGTTGTCACACACCAGTGCCTGCTGCAATATGCCCGGTTTTTCTTACCAGAAGGCAGTAACACTGCATACTGGGGAGGTGTAACTCAGAAGGAGCTTGATCTCTACAGGAAGATGCATATACACTGCCTGAACTTTTTACTGCCTGAACATTTGCACGAGGAAATGGTATGAAGCTGCATCAGGGGAAGTTCAGATTGGACATTAGGAAAACGTTCTTCGCAGTGGTCAGTCACTGGAACAGGTTCCCCAGGAAGAAGTGGTCACAGCACCAAGCCTGTCAGAGTTCAAGGAGCATCTGAACGATGCTTTTAGTCATATGGTTTAGTTTTAGGTAGTCCTGCAAGGAGCAGGGAGTTGGATTCAATGATCCTTATGGGTCCCTCCCAACTCGAGATATTCTATGAACTACAATTCCTGTGTGATGTTGTGCAGCTTTTCAGAGTCCAAACAGTTCTATTTGTAGCTGTTTTGTTAAAGACTCAAACCTTTTTGTAGGTTAAATAATTTTTGACCAGCTTGAATAGATGAGATTCATTTATCTGTCGTTTATAAAATGGGACAATATTTAGAGAAGGTATCTCTTAAACTGTGGGGATAGGTGACTTGCAAGAAAAGTTCTTCACAATGAAATGGCACAAAAGGAGAGTTGGGGACAGTGAGCATAAGAATAGTTCCTAATGCCTGGAAGGCATTATTTCAGCA